TTATTTTATTTATTATTTAATTTTAAAACCTTTATTAAGTTCCCACTGAGTGCCAGAAACTATCCCAGGCTAGGAGACTGCAGCATTAAATTACACAATATAAGCGTTCAGAGACTCAATCATTTCCCAAATTGGTCTTTTCATCTCTTTCCTATTCTAACCACAGCCGCATACCCCTGTGTTCTGTATCATCTCCCCCCACCCCCAGTGCTGACCACTGAAAAATGAGATCTTGTGCCTCTCCCACATTTTACACAAGTTCTAGCACAAGGCCAAGTGCCCAAGGGACACTAAGGAAAAATACTTTATTTAGTGACTTGAGAGGCAAGTACTCAGTGAAACGCATGGCTTTATTACCAGAAAATCCTTGCTTTCTCTATATTTTTATACACCCACCTGTCCACAAATTGCCCCCAAACAGTCCTCTCTTCTAACATTGTAAGAGGTTTTAGATTAATAGCAACAAATGAACAGAAACAACTCCTCTCAATGATCTGTGGAAGGCTGTCAGGTGAGAAGATCCTTAGAAAAATCACTAGGGGGTCACCAAAAGCTCACAGCAACAGAAAGTGGGAACATTTTCTGACACCTGAATTGTCTGGATGTGATAATTCTTTACCAGATTTCTATCTGGTCAGAAATTAATAATTTTTAAAAAATGAACCAGAATGAGACTTTAAAGACTGTAAAGAACCTCATATAGTCCAAATTCCTAACTTTATAGTTAAGAAAGGAAAGCTCTGGGGGAGGATGTAACTGAACCTAGTTTGAGCAACTTGCCTATGACAGATGCAGAGGTAGAAGCCAAACCACCTGCCTCCCAATGCAGGGTCCACACTTCTCTCCAGAGCTGCCAGGAGCAGGGTGCATGCCTGAGAGAACCCTTAAGCCAATGGCTGCTGATGCTCATCATCCACCACCCCACCAATGGGCACTGACTTCCAAGCTATCATACTGCTTGCTTCTAGCATGCCTTCTGCCTTGCTTAAGGCAACTAGAGATAATGCTTAGGAATTCCTTGTGCAAATCGATAACTTCCTTGGATGGCAAGCCTGCCTTTACCCCGTGAAGTGCAACTATCCTATTCAGGATTGTGATGAAAATGAATAAGATACTAGCCACCAAGGAATTCTATATTCTTTGAAGAAAACTTAGGGTAGAGTTCTAAAATGGTTGTTTATATGATAATCAAGTCCTATTAATGTTAGGGTTGGATTCTAGAATTTCATAAAGTCTGACAATGCTTTTCAACTTTCTATGTTTCAACATTTTTTTAATAGTAAACACTCTAGCATGCAATTCAAATAACAAACAATTTCACCAGACATTTGGTCTTCATGTGACTCTGGTAGAGAAAGGTAGAGTAGTGTTATAGTTTGGCTATGAAATGTTCCCTGAAGGCCCACTGGCACTGTGGCACTACTGCGAAGTGGTAGGGTCTTCATAGAAAAGAGTTAGGTCACTGGAGGTAGGCCCTTGATGGGGATATTGAAACACTGGCCCCTTCCTCTCTGATTCCTGACTGCCGTGAAATGAGCAGTTTCCCCCACCACACACTCCAACCATGATGTACTGCCTTGCCATAGGCCCAACAGTAACAAAGCAACTGCCCATGGACTGAAACCACAAGCCAAAATAAATCTTTCCTCCTATAAGTTGATCATCTTAGGCATTTTGTCACAGTGATGGAAAGCTAAAACATTATCTCCAATTTAGAGAAGTCAAAATCAGTTCAGAGATGCAACTTGTGCTACCCAAGTTCACAAGGGATTAAAACATGATGCTGGGACAATAATTTTATTCAGGGACCTCTCTTCATTTTGCAGATGAACTTCTGAATTTTATACTCAAATTTTGCATATCAACAATACTAGGGATCAACTTTTACTATTTTATTTGAAACTTTAACAAGGAGCAAAGCTTGGCCCTGCAACTTCATCAGCAGCTCCACAGATGGAAACCTGTCTCTGCTGGAAACTAAACAACACAGAGCAACTATGGGGGGTGGAAAACTTTGGGCTCAGAAACAGAATTAACCTTTATGATGCTTTTAATTATTCATAATTCATTCTCTGTATTCTTTCAAAATTAATATGAGATGGCTCTAGCTCTGATAAGAATTCAATCAAAACTAAGAGCCATATTCATTCTTTTTTAAATTTACTCAGACACAGAGACAGGATCTGGAAAACTATATCTCAAGTTTTGTATCAGTTATATCTGGGTATAGATGTATTGATTTTATTTATAATTATAATAATAATTATTATTATTACTACTAGTAGTAGTATTTTCATTATTACTACTATTTTCATTATTTTCTGTAGTATTAGTATTTCATTATTACTATAGTTCACCTTTTTTCTGCAGCAAATACGTACAGTTTTGATAATAGAGTATAATAAAGAATACTTTATTTTTAAAACATATTCCTTATTCTGAAAAATGAGAGAAAGGGCTGTGTCCTCTGCCAGGCAGTAAAGAAGCTCTGTTACTGTGAACCAGAGAATGGAAAATGCAAACAATACTCTTAAGCCCCCAGACCAAAAACTCTGCCCTGCTTTTCCACCTGGATCCCCCCAAACACCAAGAATATGAAACAATCTGCCAGGACATTAATTTTACTCAAGTATTTTTGAGGAAAACTTTTTCACATATTTAAACTGAGACCCACATATCATGAAGTCAAAGTTTTAAAAATGTTATAAGTCCTTAAAACATTTTCAAGTTGCTGAAGCCAATCTGAACTACATCTCAACTCCTAGGACCACTCGTCAATATTCTTTTCCATTAGGGACTCTTCTATAGAGAAGTTTGGGAAGTCCTAAGATAAACAGTACCATCTTATTTTCCTCCTCACCTTCCCTGAGAGAGTGATCTTATCAATACTAAGTCATTTTTCAGGTTAGATTGGTCAGGGGGAGCCAAACACAAATTCCTTCTAGTGTACTATTTCTTTAAAAACTATAAAACAGGTGCCAGCAAAATTTTTACCAGGAAGTCTGGACGCGCACAGGAGCACAGTTCTCCATCACCCAAAGGGGAGAACCACCTGGCCTGGCATTACAGTTTTTAAGGACAGGGCCCAGACTGCCCCTGTGCTGCCTTGCATTTCAACAGGGGAGCAGACCATGCTGCACAAGGTGCTAGTTCATTCACTCCACAAATGTTTATTGAGTGAAGCCTGAAAAAGGCTTCCTAGGGGACAGTGGGATCATTCACAAGCCAACGGTCAGGTCTAACGGATCAGATGTGGACAATTAATCTTTCATTAGACCCCAAGCCACTTCTAGGAAAAAGCAAACAGGGCCCTTGCCCCACCCACACACTAGCAGCTGGGCTGGATCAAGCAGGAATTCTAGAACAAAACTGCTGCTAAGAGAAAGGAAGGCAGTCACTGATTCCCCCTAGAATAACCAAAACTCTGGCACTGTAAATGACATATCACCTCTAAGACACTTTGAACAGTGAAAGCACCTAGAAAGAGCTCAGTAATATCATTTTTTTTGTTGTTTTAATTTCAGCTTACCATTACTCTAGGAACACAAAGTAGAAATTCTAAACATGGGGTTTAGAATTTGATATTGGATTTGAATCCCAGCCATGCATGCAACTTACCAGCTAAGGGACTAAGAGAAGCAATCTTTCTAAGCCTCAGTTTTTCCATCCATAAAGTGGGGTGTAGTATGCCACCTCTCATGTGAGTTTGTGAGAATTAAGGACACATTATATGCAGAAGAGTTCCTGAAAGTACCCAATAAAAGACAGTCAACATTTTCCTGCCCTCTTCCCTATGCCTTCTCTTCTTCCTGGGCAGGCTTGAGGGGTCCTAGAATCTGTTCACACCTAGATAACACACTAGGGGTGAAGTGGAACAGAAAAACTACAGAGGTGAGAGAAGTTGAAGGGCCGGAACTGCTGTATATCTAAGAAACCCACAACAACTTTCAACCATCCTCTATCTGGCTGCTAAATCAAGTGGACAGCAGAGGCCACCATACTAGCTGAAAAATAGCTGACAAGAAGGGGACAGGAAGCTAGACAGAGTTTGAATCCATCCCACCTTCAATAGTCTGTATTTCTGAAGCTCAGGGACTTGCCAGGCTATGTGTGCCAGCAGGCTACGATTCAGAGTCTGTTCTTATCTAGACTTCTATCACAACCCAGAACTGGAGCTGCCAGCTGGGGTCACAAATCGGCACTAAACGAAAATAAGGACTTTTCATCGCAGCAGGAAGTGGAGCCCCTCAAAGGGGATTTATAAAGAGAAGAGAACGGAAAGGGAAGGAGGAGGCAGAATGGGTGCAAAGAGAGACTATTTCCTATACGCTGATGGAGCCCTGTGTTTGGTCACTGAAGTAATCAGTTTTCTTCTTGAAAGATGATAAATCCCGTTCGTGTGGTTTACAGCACGCCGCGGGACGAAGTCTAGTGTAGGGGGAATGCCGCAAAATAAATCTGCTTACTTTCAAAGGTGAAATCATCAGCCTCTTACCTGCCCGTTCCCCACCTGTAGATAGGGCGTAACGCTCTATTTTTCTTCACCTGAGCATTCGGAGGGCGGTTCGTCACTGTACAGCCTATTCCAGTCAGCCTCCAAGCCTAGCGTCAAAGACCCCCAAAACGCGACAGCCCCACAGCACCCCGCCCACCCGGGGACCCCAGCAGCCTGGGTAGCCGGAGGTAGCTCTTAAATAAATGGGGAACTGAGGAAGGAAGCTTCTCAGGTGCCAAAACTCTGTTCACATTCTAGAGCTCAGAAGACTAAAGAAGACCGTTCTATACCAACTCCTTCATTTAACAGAGGAACAGAAACACAGAGGGAAAGAAAGTTGTCCGGGTAACACAGTCAATGGACAGAGAAGTCAAAACTAACACCCGGGTGCGCTCTTTTGAGTCGCCGTCAGGCCAGGAGCACATCTCGCCGCCTGCCGCGTCTTCTAGTCCCCAATTCCCGGCCTGGGGGGTCAAAACCCCGGACCCCGGGCGCTGCGCGTTACCTTCCTCGGTGCAGGGCGCTGCGAGCCTCCCTTCTCCCGGCAAGTCCCTGTCGACTCTGCCCTCCCTGCTCGCTCGCGCGCTGGCCTCGCGACCCAGGTGTCGCTCGGCAGCTGTCAGCGAAGGGCTGCGCGTGCAGGCTCCCCCCGCGGGCTGAGGGCGGGCGCGCAGGACCTTCTGCCCCGCGCCGGCGAAGCCCCGCCCCGCCCCGCCCCGCCCCGCCCCCGGCACCCGCCCGCTCCCGCCTGGCCCCTTCCCTTCTTTCGCCTTGCCAGGATCCTGCTGCTTCTCTCTTTCTGGCCTCCTTCTCAGGTGTGAGGTGCCCTGAAACAACTTGGGTTTTGCACAAATGAAGAAAGCAGTATATATGTGCTGTGTTAAGGTGACCGTAGCCCTACAGCGTGGAACCTGAGGTGCTCCCCACCCAGAGCGAGGACAGGCACCGTGCTGGAAAAGGGATATGGGGATTATAGAACCCTGTGATGGGGCTAAATTGTTTAACTTTTCATATGTCAGTGTGTCCTTATGTGTACAGGTTGTTGAAAGGATTAAACAAGATGATTCTTTTAAAGTATCTAATACAATAATATCTGGATTAAGGTGTACTACCTGAGCCACCCATTGGGTGTGCAAAGAGGACTGGTCAAGCTCCTGGAAGGTACTAACTGGTGGGAGGCAGGTACACCTTTAAATACAGGGTTGATTCATGACCAGTGTTTAAAAGTTACTGATAATGGGGCCTCCAGGCAAATTTCCGAACTTTAAAGTCTTCTCTTTCCTACTGTCTTCCTCACAGTGATCCCAGCTGAGATTGACCCTGGTCTGCCTTCTCCCAGACTTACAAATGCAAAGCTGCTAACCTGGCCTTGCACTATGGGACCTTAGGGTGTGCATTCTGGCTTTTACCCAACATTTCATGGGAGTCCGTGAAAGAGCACTCAGGAGGCAAAAGAGAACTAAACCACTCCCCTTGCTTTTCAAGAGACAAATTTGTAAATCATTTCAATTCAGAACAAGTGCTATCTGGATGTTCAAAAGTGTCACAAGGCACACACACTAGGGGAAAGGGATAATAAAGGTTTTAATGCAAATGTGGCCAAGGTATTTCTTGAAGGAGGGCTGCAAGTTAGGTGGGATGAAAGAACAATGGATGCTGCAAGGCTGGTGATGACAAGAAGAGATGTCTGTCATATGTCATGGCTATTGCCCTGTGTGATGCTGAAACAGACAAAACTGGTAAACAGATGCTGGAAGCCATCCCTGTCTTGCTGAGGGAAGCAGGCTGCATCCTGTTGGTGATTGCTGTTGGTGAATGACTATAAGCAAGGGAGTGGCAGGATCTTAGATGCTTCTGGCTCCTCACTTTCATTGTTGATTGCAGGCACTGGGTGTTGCTCACCTGTGGCTCTTTGCATTTCATACTGACAGGGCTTTGTAAAAGGAACTTGATGCTTGCTACTTCCAATGTCCCTCTGCTCCTGAAAACAAAAGCAAGACCTAACTACAAGGGAAGGTCTCAGGGTCCTCATTTCAGACTCTGGCATACAGGGGAGAAATTTTGAGGTAGAGTCTTCTTAGGGTACTCATCCAAATCTTGTATGGCTGAGAGATTAAAATCTAGATTCCGGATGTCAAATGATCAAGGTCTAAACACTGGCCCTATTTGTTCCTAATAGGACCTTACACCAATTACGCATTCTCTCTGTGCCTCAGATGTTCATTAGTTAAACAGATAATGAATATGCTCCTCTCTCCAGCCAACTGTGAGAATTAAAATGAGAAAATACATGTTTCGTACAGTGCCTTGCACACAGTTAGTCCTGGATAAGACTTAGTTAACATGATCTTATCAAGTCAGCAGTGGCCTGGTTCACTTAACCACAGGAGAATGCCATATTTCCAAATGGTTGCCATATAAATGACATTTAAACTTGAGAAAATTCCATGCTGATATTGAAGGGGAAAAAAGGGGGACAGGGATAGTGCAGGGCAGGGTTAAATGCACAGACTTTGGTCTTAGCTCCAACAACTGAACTACCTGCATGAATTTGGACAAGTCATGAAACCTCTGTGACTGTTCTGTAAAATAGAAATAGTAATACTATATGTCCCTTGCAAAGGAGACAATGTTGTAACATACTTAGCACATTGCCTGGCCTAATATAGGTCTCATTAAATGTGAGTTTACAGTGGCATAATGTTTGAAAGTGAGCTTTTAGAGTTTTGGAAAGGGAAGAGTAATCAAACAGTAATGTATGGGGAGGAGAGAATGCAATCCTAGAAGAAAGTAAAACTCAGTGTAAAGGTTGGTGCTGGATCTGTGAAAACTGACTGGGATAAGAGAAATATGCTTAGAAATCTTAGAATGGAGCATGGGCCTGGAAGGATTTTCTAAGTGAGTATGAGTTAAATTTGGAACCCTGCCTAAATAGGTATAAAATTCTGGCACTTTATGAAACAAATAAAACAATAGAGTATTGTTTACAGGATCATGTGTAACACTCTCTGAGCTGTCCTCCTGGACAGGTGGGATACCACAAGGCTACTGCTTTCAAATGAGAATCTTGGACTTACTCCTACCACTACACAGCCATGACTTTGTGGCACAATGCTAAATTGTTTAGTTTTACCAGCTAGTTAGTGGGTAAATATTAATTGTTGGAATGGACTAGGTGTGTTTCCTTCAAGCTTGAAATAGCCTTCCCTTTATATCTGACTTGAGGGATTCTTCTCATACATCAAGGCTCAGAAAAAGTGTCACCAGCTTTCCCTCCTAGATGGAATGAATTAACCCTGCACCTTCTTTTACTCCTATGGCTTATTTCTTGACCATTTCGTTGGCATTGATTTCATTTGTTTTTATAGTAAGTCATCACAGGATCTTCCACTCTCCACTAGTATTAAAGCTCACCGAATTTAGGGACCCTTTCTCTCTTGCATTTATTCTCACCACCTCTATCCTCCCCAACCCCATGACTTATACACCACAAGCATTCAATAAATGCTTGTTAAGTTGCATTGGCAGGCAGGTCTCTCTTAGTAGATGTGTTAGAGAGAGCAGCATTTTTGGTACCATGGAAAAGTAAAAGAACTTTTAAAAACATGACTTTGTCTTTATGCTATGTGAATTTATAACTTCTTACCCACTAAAAATTTGGATATTGCTGAAATGCTGTATAATTGCGTCTGGTGTGGTGATGTGGTTAGATGACTTATAGCAGTAGGTATCAAATGTACAGCATTGAGAACACAATTTAGCCACGGTACTGGGTCACCAAGGCAAGAATTTGGCTTTCTAAATAATTTGTAAATACTGAATATCTTTAAACTTTTGGAAATATAAAACTTTGGCCTTGAATCAAACTGTGTTAGCAATCTCTCCACAGCCTTTAATAATGTCTTACATTTCTACAAGGCTTTGTAGTTTTCAGAGGCCTTTCACTTTGATTATCTTATTTAATCTTCACATCAACCCTATGATGTAGGAAGGACAGATTTTAGTATCTGCATTTCACAGATGAAGATAGGAGGGACTTGAAAGAACCAGGCCCTTTAAACCCAGGCCAAATGAAAAACTAGCAACAAAGTCAAAGTTAGAACCCAGAAGTCTACTATATCAGAAACACTTCTGATGAAGATTGTGGCATCATTATTTATAAACTTCATGAGCAACAATCTTATGTAGAAATGTCTTTTTATTCATCTATATACATTTTAATTTAAAAATCCTTTAAAAATTAAAGAAAAATCTTTGCAGTGATCACCTCAAACATGTATATATAATAATCACTACTTATTACTACAGTGCCTTTCATCTGTGCATGCCAACACTCATTCCAACATTAATTTTACATTTTTAAACCTCTAGGTTTACTGTATCCATGTTTTAGAACAAAATCTCTTATTTTACTGTTTAAAAAAACAGCACTTCAAAAATTAGACCTCCTCTTATTTGAGGTACCTAGCAGGTAAGGAAGAAATGAAGAATTATTGTTTTATGGGTAGAGTTTCAATGTGGGATGATGAAAAGGTTTTGGAGATGGATGGTGATGATGGTTGCAGAACCAAGTGAATGTATATAATGCCACAGAACTTTATATTTAAAAATAATTTTAAATGGTAAATTTTATGTTTATTTTACAACAATAAAAAAAAGACCACCTTGAGCCAGGGTGTGGTTCAGTGGAAGAGCATCTACCCAGTATGCATGAAGGCCTGGGTTCAATCCCCAGTACCACATATGCACACATGTACACACACACATACATACATAAATTCATTCTTGTTTTAGTCACATGAGAGTCTCTCTGGTAGAAGAAGTCTAGTTACTTCATAACTCATGACAATTTTTGGTTTATCTATCAGTTTTTGAAATTCATCTTACTTAAGAGCCCTATAGAACTTACCTTGGAAGAGTAGACAGTGAATGTAGGAAACCCTATTAACATTTTTTAAGAATCCAAAGTGGAGTTTGGGTTTGTGTGATACAGTGAGATTCCCAATAGATTCTTATAGCTACCACTAATTGAGTACTTCCCACCTGCCAGGTACTTGACTAAACACTTTTGTAACCATCACTTCATATAAAGCTTCATATAATATGCAGAGTATCTCATCTATAATTTTTTATTGATTACATATTGAAATTATAACACTGGAACATAATTAACTCTAAAATATTCTCAAAATTAATTTCATCTGTTTCTTTTTACTTCTTTTTACTGTCACTACTAAAAAATTTTAAATTAAATATATGGCTCTTTGGACAGGGCTGTTTAAGACTGACTGAGTTGCATTCTCTACCTCAGTTTTCCCACTTGGGAGAAGGGACATTAACCTCTGTTTTTCATTGTCTCAGTGGCAAATTCTCTCTTTACCCCCTTCCTACCCATTGTACTATATCCGGAAGGCCTTTTGAGTTATTTTGCGTAAGACAGGAAAGACATACTTAAAGAGCTAACTTCTATTTGTTACTCTGCTTTAGAATTCAAAGCACAATAATCACAAAATGTTACAATTTCTACTGACTGTAAGTTTTATCCCCTATTCCTTTTCATACAGAGGAATCTTGATTAACCATATACTTCAAGAATGGAGTGCTTTGTGCGGGTGAAATATAATTTTCTTCCTTCTCTTGTTTATTCAGTTACTCATTCACTTATGCATCCATTTCACATTATAAATATTTATTGAGTGATCATTGTGTACATGGTATATTATCATTAAAAATTCAAAAATAAGCCAGATTAGTGTCTTCTGTTCATTTTCTTTCAAAAAATTGCTTTTTATACTGGCCATTATAGGCAACACAATATAATGAAAAAGCCCTGGACCAGTCTGTGCTGGTAGCCACTGGTCACATGTATCTATTGTGTATATAGTCCTGGTTTTACGTGAGATGAACAGTCTTTTTTTCCAGATCTCAGATTTTTCATCTATAAAATTAGAAAGGATAAAAATACATAATTTGCCTATTGTGAAAATAAAATAAGATAATGGAAATGGCAGGCAGCATGTTACTATTTTTTATTTATTAAAAGACACTGAGGAGTCAGGAGATTTGGCTTCTCTTCTAGACTCTGCTACAACATGGATAAGTTATTTACCCTCTCAGACGTCAGTGAGTGTCCTTATCTCTGAAATAAAGAGATTAGGCTACATATATTCTAAAATCTTTTCTAGTTCAAAATCCCAGGTTTTAAGAATTTATGGGGATTGGTGTTGTGGCTCAGCGGTAGAGCACTCACCTAGCACGTGCGAGACCCTGGGTTCGATCCTCAGCACCACATAAAAATAAATAAATAAAATAAAGGTATTATGTCCAACTACAACTAAAAATTAAATATTAAAAAAAGAATTTATGATTTTTAAGATAATAAATCATTCTCTGAAAATCAGCACTTAAATTCACCAGAATCATATTCATCATATCATTTCTCTAGGTATAGCTCTTATAAGATTTAAATATATAAAATACTAGAAACTTTAATTGTACTTACTTGTATGCAGAAAAATATCTGCTTCAGATTATTATATAGTGTTTTGTCCTCCGCATCTTTAAAGGCAACTAAAAGAGAAAAATGTATTAAAGAAATTAAAAATAATATTTTCAGTTATCTATTAGGGTATAAGAAACCATTCTAAAATATGGTGGTTAAAACAATGAGTTATCATTCCCAACAATTTTGTAAGTCAAAGGGTCCAGATTCTGCTCTAGCTACTTGGGGTTTCTTATGCAGCTGCATTCAACCAAGAACATGAATTAATCCTAGTATCATCTGTAAACAGTTGGAACCCCCAAAATGGCCCCTCAGCCTCCAGGAGTTCTCTGGACATGGCCTCTCCCCATTCTGTAAACTAGCCTAAACTTTTTGCATGAGAGATGGATTCCATGGGTCAAGTCCCAATGTGTGAGTATTTGTTTCATGTTTGCTAATATTTGTTTGGCCAAAGCATGTTTTGGATCAATGTGTGAGAGGGCCTGGCTATCTACAAGCATGTTTCACTAGGGACACTACTCTCACAAGTGCCATTCAAATGCACTCCAGTTAACTGGGATCTTACCCCATCTCTACAGCATATATCATTCCATTCTTTACTTCTATGCTCCATATGTACTTCAATTTCTACATATGTCACACTGTACTTATATTTCAGTCTTCTCTCATCAAAATGGAAAACTCTTAAGTAAGGGTAGAGATGGTGTCTTAACACTTAGAATGTCTAGTATCTGGCCCAGTGTCTCCACATAGAAGGTAGTTAATAACATTGAACCACACTGAATTGAGTTCTTTGGACCTCAAACAAATGCAAAGGATAGATTGTTTGAGATTGAAGCACTGAAGCACTAATTGAAGCACATTGAAGCACTAATCTAGGTTCTTTATTTTCACTAACCTCTACTTGAAATTTAGCATTTTCTTCTAATATTTATATATATATATATATATATATATATATATATATATATATATTAATTTAGCATTTTCTTCTATTATTATATATATGAAAAAAACATAGTAGTAGTATCAGTAGATGTGACTTTGTCACCAATAGAAATCCCCAAAATTGTCATATTACATTACAGTTGACTTACAGATATGGAAATATCATAGTTTTAAAGTAATTTGAACAATTAATTTTAATACATTTGATTTTCTTTGTAATCCTAGGTATTTAATCTTATTTTACTTAGAAAAATTATTCTGAGAAGTACATAAGCATCAAGCTGCCTAGATGTCTATGGTACAGAGCTCTGCCTAGTGTGAGCACCTGACTTGGAAGACAGATGATAACCAAGGGAAGACCCCAGGACTACCTCACTGGAGCAGCATCAGCATTACCTGGGAACTTGTTATACATATATAGGCTCTACCACAGACATTCTAGAGCAAAAAGTTTGGGGTGAGGCCTATCTGGGCTTCTATAAGGTTTCCAAGTGATTCTTATACACACTGGAGTTTGCAAACCATTGAACTGGGGAACACAGTAGTGAGCTGAAACTGAAATACACAGAAGTGGCTGAGTCAGGTTGAAGAAAGAAAGATTTTAGAAAGAGGAAGATCAGGGCTGGGGCTGGGGCTGGGGCTGGGGCTCAGAGGTAGAGTGCTCACCTAGCACATGCAGGGCCCTGGGTTCGATCCTCAGCACCACATAAAAATAAATAAATAAAATAAAGGTATTTTTTTTAAAAAAAAAAAAAAAAGAGGAAGAACAGGGTCAACTGGAGGTTAGGAAGGAACAGCTCTGACTAAGAGACCCAGATTTGTGTCGGACAGAGAAGGAGGGTGTTAGGAAGCAAAAGGGCCTGAATGACTAAATGTGTTGAAATCAGATTATAAAAAGCCTACAAAGTTGAGCAATGGTACAGGTAAAAACAAGTCCCTGCCTCCACTTGCTAGCTACCCTCATTCATTCACATACTCAATTAACAAATATTTGGCCCTCCACTAGAACATAAGCTTCATACAAGCAAAAATGTTGCCTTTTCATCATTTTAAAGCTTAATACCCAGATAAATTTCCAGCACATAGTAGGCACTATGTATTTAGTAGAAGGAATGAATAACTAATGAACATTTGGGAAAAGCCTTGAGTCCTAACATATTCTGAACTGTGACAACCTTAAGTAAAGTATCAAGCACGTGTTGTCTGCCAATATTCATCAACAATAAAATTAGAAATTTGAGTAGGCTAGCTGCTATTAGCTTATATTCTCTTCAAACACTTCCTACATCAAGATAATTAAAAATTTTCCAAGAAGTAGTATGTGAACTTGAGAGAAGGTAAAATTAAACTTTAGTTTTTAAAACATCAAAAATATACTGATTTTTTGGCTTTGTTGTTGTTGTTGTTCTTTTTAGATATACATGATAGTAGAGAATATTTGACATATTATACATACATGGAGTATAACTTATTCTAATTAGGATCCTATTCTTGTGATTGTAGATGATGTGGAGTTACATTGGTTATGTATTCATATATAAGGATATGAATACATTCTACTGTCTTTCCTATTCCATGCAATGAACTTCCATCCAATGAATTTCTATTCTTCCCCTCCCTACTCCCCATTGTTGTGGGTTAGCATCCTTTTTTGGGGACTGGCTTATTATACTTAGCATAATATTCTCTAGTTCCATCCATTTACTGGCAAATGCCATAATTTCATTCTTCTTTATGACTGAATTAATATTCCATTGTGTATATATACCACATTTTCTTTATCCATTCATCTGTTGAAGAGCACCTAGGTTGGTTCCATAGCTTAGCTATTGTGAATTGAGCTATTATTAACACTGATGTGGAGGCATCACTGTAGGAGACTGATTTTTAAGTCCTTCGGGTATAGACTGAGAAGTGGGATAACTGGGTCAAATGGTGGTTCCATTCCATGTTTTCTGAGGAATCTCCATACTTCTTTCATAGTAGTTACACCAATTTGCAGTCCCACCAGCAGTCTATGAGTGAACCTTTTCCCCCACATCCTCACCAACATTTATTGTTACTTGTATTCTTGCTAATTATCATTCTGACTGGAGTGAGATGGAATCTCAGTGTAGTTTTAATTTATCTTTCTCTAATTGCTAGAGGTGTTGAACCAAAAATGTGCTTATTTTTTCTTTTTTGTGTTTCCTTAATTTTTAAATTTAAAAATATTTTTTAGTTGTAGATGGACACAATACTTTTATTTTATTTGTTTATTTATATGTGGTACTGAGGATTGACCCCAGGGCCTCACATGTGCAAGGCGCTCTACCACTAAGCCACAACCCCAGTCCCTATTTTAATTTTTTAATGTTTTTATTTTCCAAGTTTTTTAACTTGTTGTCAGTATTACAATATTATTAAATATTGCCACTGGGTTCAAAAAATGCCTGGAAATTGCCAAAATTATAGAGTCAACCTGTTAGGTAAAAACTATAGAGCTTGACCACAAAATGTTGCATACTTGAATGAAGTTCCAAAAAGAAAATATTGATGCAAAGCTTTGAGATTTTACTCCAGCTTACTTCTCAGGGCACTAATGTAAATAACACTCAAAAGCTTTCAGGATGCATGTAAACTCTAGGTAAGCCCCAAATCATCTACACATTGACTGTAGGATGGTGTGGTTAGTCAGGATGAAGCTCTATCAGCCACCTTCATGTTCAGAGTAAACAAACAACAGTTCTGAGACTTGCAAAGAAATGATGAGAAACCCTCTAACTTTGAATTAAAGGAAACCACATGCCACCACACTACTAACCATGAACATGTTTACATTTTGTTTGAGTGGGGGTGAGTGCAGAAGGAGTCTTACAGAGCTATTGCTTATGATGTGGCTAAAACAACCATTAGTGGCCTCTCCAGTGGCCTCTGAGCAGAACATACTGGGACCTCAGCAATGCAGATGGAAGTGGAATATGATTGGAGAGAATGGATCAGAATACCCAGCTGACTCCGAGCTAAAAGGTCTGAAGATCCATGGCAAACTTGGGCTGTGTTGAGCAGACATTACCATCTGTTGGGTATGTGAGGAGAGAGAGGAGACATTCATACAAGAAGCAAGTGTCATTCAAAGTGGATGACAAACATAGGGAATTGCCTGAACTTATGGTCATCTTCCTTAAGACATCAGACTGTGAGAGAAAGTATCAGTAGAGTATGGGGAATGATTAACAGAATTCAACTGAAGATTTCCCACCTGAAGTCATGCTGCCGAGGAGTAGAATGGTTTGTATTGAGTAACAGAGAAAATGTTGCAATGGTTAGTGGGAACTGTCAATGATGCATTTGAATTATAATTATTTCTAAATTCTGACATTTAAGTAAGATTAAGCAGTTGAAGCAACAGCAAATATTTGTTCTTTCCCCTGTCTTCTGAGTAATTCAATAGAAGTGAACAAACTAATAGGAAGTGAGCCCTTTGCTTACTTGAGAAGTAGGCCCTGCTTCCAGGGACAGGGAAAGGAGCAGCTGGGAGTACTAGGAGAAGTCAGAGCCATGACCACAGAGTGGCTGTGGTCTGTGAACATTCTCCCGTGCAGATGGCTTGTTGAGAATCTATTCCACTCTTTCTGCTTGCACAAGAGCCTTGGCAAGAAGTCAAGGTAAAGCTAAGATGAAGTCTGGGACAAGTTACATCAGGGGCGCTACTAGTTGCCACATCCACCCCTAGGAAGATACCTGGACCACTGGCATTACTGCCCTAGATTAAGAGGCTAGAGAACAAATGCTGCATAAATTAATGATACTTCCTTTTTTGTTCACTATACCAAATACATGGCTTGCTAACTTTTTTTGAACTCAGGCTTATACAGAGTATGCAACTCCAAAGAACCATGAGGATAAGTTCTAGAGGAAAGAGAACCTTCCTCTGATGCGTTCCTAAAAGTTACTTTGCAACATAGAGCCATGTTTTGTGTTTTCAGGCAATTGGACCCCAACGGGGGGATGGTAGGTGATGGGTGGGACTTGAAAGAAGTAGGTCCTTGACCTTCAGCAAGGTTGGCAAGGTTTGCATAAGGGCTCAGCATAAGCCAGAAACTAAAGTGTTAGGCAAGGAAACTGAAGTAGAAACCCA